TTTGAAAGGAATGAAAACTTTCCTGCTTAGCCTGGAATCCCCAGATTTTCCGTTGTCTGTGTATTGACATTTGTAATAAGAACCCGGGACCCTTCAGTCCATAGGCTGACGCTCTAACCACTGAGCCAAACTGGCCAGGGCCACTGCACCTTTCTGGATGTTGTTTTCCATCACTAATTAGAGCACATGCTTCCAGGCTGTGTTAGGTCCCCAGAGTCTACCAAAGAGTCCTTCTTGGCCATCTGCCTGCTGCCCTTGAACCAATGGAGCTGCCCCTAGAGGCTGCCTTCCTCGCTCCAAGTCTCGCTATCCTCAGCTGGCACCTCACATAAAACCGAAGTGGACCTAGCCCTTTGCAAACACTTGAGAGCTGGAGGAACAGGTCTTGGGGCATTGCTGTTGCCATATTTTATGTGGCTCCTCAAACAGGTCAGACCTGGGGGTGTGTGATTATTTTATCTTAGAAGAATGAGAGTTGGGTCTGTTCCTCAGGCATTGAGAGGGACACAGAAACAAGGGTGGGGAGCAGGTGGAGGCGAAACACTGTAGTGTTATGGAGAAAAGCCCTGAAAATTAGAACTGAGCTTTTTGCGGTTGCCTGGCCCATGTTGTGTGATCCTATATGAAGCCTCAGCCCCGCTGGACACACTGTGTGCTGTGTGCTGGACACAGGTGTTGAGGTCAATCAACATGGTACCACTTTGCTAATCCTGAAGGAACAGTGCCCAAGAAGGGAGAGAAGCACGTAGGTTGTATAAATAGTGGCAGGTACCTTGTAACTGTGACCAAACTGCTGGAGAACAGATACAAGGAAGACCTTGGCTGTACTTATGCATCATTCCATTGATCTGGGCTCATGGCTTTTAGCTGAATAGTCAGTGTCACTCGTGCTTGGTACTTACGACAGATAACACCATGGCCAGGAAACTGAGTCAGAGGTTGCAAAGTGATGGCCCACAGATAAGTTTTTATTATTTTGTTTTGATCCACACAGTGATTTTAACAACTGAGGTAGCTGAGAATGCTTAGTAATTGGGACTCTCCAGCTTCTCTTGACAAGTGGAAAGATCTGGAAACGCTGGGCCTCTGTTCCACGTGACAGTAATGTGTGGAAGCTGTGGAGCTGCTGTCCCACGTTTGGCTTTGTGAGCACCACTCTCTGTATCTCCCTGACTCAGAGACAGAGTTTGGCTGCCAAGTGGCCAAACAGTCACCGTGTTTGTTCTAATGTTACTGTCATAGCAGGCCTACTCCACTGGTTCTGTGTGCTTATGGGGCTCTGGGCCATTGGAGCTTTTGACTTTGTGCTTTGAATCATTTCACTTGACTGGGGCTGATACTGGAAGAGAGGGGCCCCAGCATGGTGGGGAGGGGACAGCCCCAGGACAGGGGTAAGGTGTGGTAACCCTGCTGGGTGCATCTGCAAGGCTCTCAAACACCTGTTCTAAGGAAGGCTTGTCTGGAGCCCTGTTAGGTAGGGGGAGAGGGTGGGTGAGTTGCCCAGAAAAACTGAGACAAAGGAATTGCAGGGCTGAGATCTGAACCCCAATCTTTGAATCTGACCACCACACCCCCGAATTGACCTTCCAGCCACAAACTAACCCCACGCGCTTGTTTTGCTTTGTTTCTGTTTGTGGGGAGGGAAAGGAAGGAAGTCCTCTCCAAGTTGCTCAGCTGAGTGCCGCTCCCTCGCCTCTGTTTGCATAAACCCTGCCTGCCAGTGTTCACTGGGAACCCGCTGCTGGCCAGCTGCTGAAAGGGCCTTTGAGTAAACAACACCCCTGGCTTGAAGATTGCATTTCAGAGTAAAAGAATTTTGAACTTCTCTGTCTTGTTAGAAATGCGTGTTTTGGCTCCAGTTTGGAAGGATCCTTTGTGTCTTCTAGAATGTCCCTCCCTGGTCTTGCCTGTTCCTGTGAAGGGCAGCTCAGACACTTAAACCACCACTTGCCATTACCTTGTTGAGGCCCCTGGTTCAATGAGCCCTTGTTCCAGGAAAGGAAAATTGTGGCAAGGGGGTCATGCTCTTGAGAATGGGCCAGCAGCGACTTATCCCTTCTTTGTTTCCTGAGTCTCCTATTTCTTCTACAGGAATTATGCCCACTAGGTTTTGAAAGCTGCTCTCCTCCTCAGTCGCCCCACCACCCACACCCATGTACAGCTGAGGAAACAGGCCTGTGTGTAGAAACACTGGGTTTGGAACCCAAGTCGGACTTTACACCTGGGCTCTTTCTAGAACCAGGTGCTTCTTCCTTGAGGTGCATCTCTGAGGGAGGTGAGGGCTCTGTCCACAAGGCTGACTCTGTCCCCCGGAGAGACTCAGATAGCCGTGTAGCCTTTGCCATTTCCTCAGGCTGGTGTGTTCACTGTGTTCATAAGCAGCCCTGTGAAGGGAGCCACCAGGATGTTTGTCTTCTTGGAAAAACCTGTTCCCAGGCAGTCCTAAGCAAAAATGTTTATATTGTCACCGAGGCATTTTTAAGTATGCTTCTTTGTTTCTAGAGCAAGGGAGAGTTTGAGGGTTTTAGAGGGTCTGAGGAAATGGGAAAATTATGCTTATATGTGGAGGTTTACTAATAAAATGTGGAAAAGGCCCAAGATGGTGTTTATTGTTACCGCGGTGGCTCCAGCTCATGCTGTGTCTGCCTTAGTTAGGTTTCTTTAGGTTGCGTGTGACAGAAAACCCGGCCCAGACTGGCTCTGGTAAGAAAAGAGTGGCTTGGTAGTTATCAGGGAGGGCTGGCTTCATAGGGGATTTGAAACTTGGCTTCTCTCTCTCTTTGGGTGTCCACAAGGGGCTTTTTAAGTCCTTGGTTTCATGGGCCATCTTTTCTGACACGATTGTTCAGATCTCACGATTGTTCAGGCACATAGCACGGTCAGCAGAAGGGCAAGTCGGGCCCCTTTGCAAAGCCAGGTGCTCCCTCAGAGCAGCCACGGATCATCTGGGTGGAGATACAGGCTGTTTTCCTGAGAAAGGTGTGGTGTGTAGGTCTGTGTAGATGGGGAGCTTGACCCCAGTCTCGAGGGCACAGGGATGGGTGGTTTTCCTTATGGCTTTGTCTGGGGCTGCCTGTGACATTTGGAGTCATTTCTGGGTTTAAATGTCCCCCATCCAGGATTGGAGATGGAATTGTTTGGAGATTTTAAGTCATCTATGGCAGGATGCAAAGATTTATTTTTTTCCTTTGTGGGGAGGTATAGAAAAACCAAGAATCTGTTGATGGTGAGAATGTGGGACCAATTCCAGTCCTGCACAAAGCCTGCTTCCAAAATACCATTGTCCCAGGGCCACTGGGGAGGCGACTGGCTGTGCCCTCTTATCTCCTGCCACCAGGCTTGGCACTGGCATCGTGCTTCATCCCATGTTCAAAATCCAAGCAGTCTCCCCCCCCCCGCCCCCGTGATCAAAGCAGGGAGGACAGGTTGTTCTGTGATGAGACTTAGGGACCGTCAGGCTCTGTAGCTGGTTTCTTCCTACCTCCCAGTGTCAGTATCTGTAAATAAAATTTCCTTAAGTTGTATTTTTGGAAAATCATACTCGGCAGGTAAGATGAGCAAGGTGATGTTGCTAGGAAACTTTGAAAGTGAACTTGTGTTTTCATTGTTTGGCGAACTTACAGAGTTTCTGTGTGCCGAGGACAGAGCTGTCGCATGTGTCTTTGGCGTGGCCTCCATCGGGAGCGGCTCACTGCAGGAAGAGTTTTGAGAATCTGATTCTTCAGGGCCCCATTTGTGATTTTGGGGGGTTGGCTGGTTTCTCATAGACAGGAGCAAATATACTTAAAAAGGAGGGACACCAGAGAAGACAGACATCTGGGAAAGAGTTCAGAGTAGTGGAGAAATAAATGCAAAGAGCACCAGTAGTCATAATAATAGCAGTGTTCCCAGTGGCCTCGTGAGCGTTCAGCCGTTGCCTGATAAATGTTGCATCCTTCACGCAGAGACTGACGCTAGAGACAGAAGGCCTTGTCAGCACTTTCCCTGGGCCCACCGTGGTCCTCTATTACTTCAGAGGCAAAAGCTTAGTGTTATAACTCAGTATCCTCGTAAATCCTCATGATGGATACAATATTGACTCATTTTTACAAGTCCTGGTCATACAAGAGACGCTATAACACTTCTATTTGTGTATTATATTTACTCACAGCCGGTTGTGCTGAGAGCCTCCCGTGTATAGGCTTGTTACATGCATCATCTCATTTAATCCCCCCTCGCCTGTGAGGGACAAATATTATTCTTACCCCATTTTATTTATGAGGAGAGTGAGGCTTAGGGAGACTAACTCACTTGCCCATGACCACGCAGGTAAAAAGTGGCCAGACTCTGACCCAAATCCTACCTGGTTGGCCCATAGGGCAGTGTTCTTAATGCCAACTGTGCCAGCTGTGCTTGGAGCAGTGACCATTCAACACAACAAGACAGGGGAGGGGAAGGGGGAGGAGGGGACAAGGGTGCATCATGCCCATGCAAGTGCAGGGCTGGATCCTCTCCTCATTGAACATTTAAAAAAAAAAGTCTTTATTGATTCCAGAGGGGGAGGGAGAGAGAAACATCAATGATGAGAGTCAGTGATCGGCTGCCTTCTGTGGGATGGAGCCTGCAACCCGGGCCTGTGCCCTGACCGGGAATCGAACCTCGACCTCCTGGTTCCCAGGTCGGTGCTCAGCCGCTGAGCCCCGCCGGCCAGGCATCATTGAACATTTTGATCTTTTGTTCATCATGAATTTTCTTTGCATTAAGTTTGCCTTTTAAAAATATTAAATTTGGGTATTATTATTTATCTTGGTTACTGGGTTTCACGGTGCTCAGGGCCAACGTCACCATCTGTCTCGTGGGTGAGGACCGCAAGGGTCCCCGAGGTCGGGGGTATGCCCCAGGCCCCAGGGCTGCAAGCACAGGGGCCGGGTGTTGGCCAGGCTCCCCGGGCCCAGCCGGGGACGCGGTGTGGCTTCCTGCAGGGTGACTGTGGAGCTCTCAGGAATGTGCTTCTCTTGCAGGTCGGGAAGGAGGCTGAAGAAGACCCGCAAGTATGACATCATTACCACCCCGGCCGAGCGGGTGGAAATGGCACCGTTGAATGAGGAGGACGACGAGGACGAGGACTCCACAGTGTTCGACATCAAGTACAGGTAGTGACCTCACCTCCAGAGGCCGGGGAGGGGACTGACTGCCTGGGGGGCGAGGAGGGGACAGGCGATGCTTCCGATTCCGAAAGAGCAGCTCTGCTCGCTGCTCAGTCGCACAGGCCTCAGCACCTCTGCAGCACCCTCATTGCAGCAGGCGCTCCGTCTCTGTGACACAGTAGGGCAGGGTCTCCCACATGCGGCGCTTAGTCACAGAGGCACCATTCTGGGCAGGCACCCAGAACCCAGCAAACCCACCAGTATTCGTCTTCAGCCCCGGGTTATCCGTCATCATGAACCCCTGTGTCCTGCAGGATCAGTTTCCACGCCTGGATTTCTGCTTCCAAGGCTGCCAACTTCTCTCTGCTGTCACTTTGAGGAGAGCTTCAAAGACAGTTTCCTCTGTAAGCCCTTGTCACATGACCCGAGGCTTGTGTTTGATATCTTTTGAAAAAATACCATTTTCTGCCCGGCTGGACGTGGCTCAGTGGTTGAGCATCGACCTAGGATCCAGGCGATCGGGGTTCGATTCCCGGTCAGGGCACAGGCCTGGTTGTGGGCTCGATCCCCACTCGGGGGCGTGCAGGAGGCAGCCGATCCATGACTCTCTCATCATTGATGTTTCTCTCTCTCTCCCTCTCCCTTCTTCTCTCTGAAGTCAATAAAGGTATATTAAAAAAAAAACCACACCATTTTCTAACCTTTTGCTCATGATGTCTAACAATGCAGTTGATTTCTTAAAATAAAAATCCAGCAACTTCACTAAATTCTTATTAATTCTAGTACTATAAATGGGAATTTTTTTGGTACTCGGTGTAGATATATCATCTGAAACTAGTAAGAGAACCACCCCCCTCCAAGTCCTTCAACATTTTCTTTCTCTCTGTCTCTCTCTGTCTCTGTCTCTCTTTTTCTGTACTCATTTTTTGGCCTTTAAGTTATTGTTAAATGGAAGTGGTGATAATAGGCATGCTGTCCCGTTCCTGATCTTATAGGGTATGCTTTCAGTATTGACCATGAAGAGTCATGTTTGCTATAGGGTTTTGTGGAATTTTTTTTTTAATCAGGAAGTTCCCCTGTATTCCCAGTTTGCTAATGTCAGATTTTGTTAATTGCCTTTTCTAGCTCTATGAGAAGATCATACTTTTTCCTTTACTCTGTTCAGGTGGTGAAATTATATTTATTCATTTTTGTAATATTAAACTAGCTTTGCATTCCTGAGATAAAATGAGTGTGGTCATGGCCATGCTATCATTTTATGCATTGCTGCATTCACTTTGCAGTTATTTTTTATATTTCACAACTTATATATAGATATATTTTAATATATCTTTATTGATTTCAGAAAGAGGAAGGGAGAGGGATAGAGTGAGTTGAAACATCAATTATGAGAGAGTCATCATTGATTGGCTGCTAGCCCGCAACCCAGGCATGTGCCCTGACTGGGAATCGAACCGCAATCTCCTGGATCCTAGGTCAACGCTCAACCACTGAGCCACGCCTGGCCGGGCCACAACTTATATTTTTTATTAGAGTCTACAGTCTGCTAAATGAAAGCAGTATTCAGGTTGCTGATGTTTTGATTAGGACCTTCTTGTTTCTCTTAGTCACTGAGATTGGTTTGTCATTTTCCTACTTGGTAATATCCTTGTCAGGCTTTGGTAAAAGTTTGATTAACCTCGTAAAGCAAGTTGGGAATGTGCAAGTTATTTTACTTTTCTCTGAAATAGTCTGTATCAGATTAGAATGATTTGTTTCCTGAATGTTTAGTACATTTTGCCCAAACTGGCTAGGAATAGCCTGATACTTTTGTTGTGCAAAGATTTAAAAAACTATCGATGCTCAGTTCTTTCAACAGTTATAGGACTATTTAGTCTTTATTTTTTCTTGGGTCAGTTTTGATGGGTTGTATTTTTCTGGGATTTTGTTCATTTCATCTAAGTTTTCAAATACAGTGTCCTAAACATTATCTTGTTCTCAACATGGCCACTTTTATCCTCAATATTGATTTTGTTTGCCCTCTCCCCTTTTTCTTGACCCAGCTTGCTGGGAGTTTGATTTTATTCGTCTGTACAAAGACCAAACTTTGGCTTCTTTGATCCTCTCTATTATATTGCCATTTTCAATTGATTTCTTCTCTTCCTTAAGCTTTCTTTGGGTGTGTTTTCTTTTTGTCTAACTTCTATTGAATATTCAGCTCATACATTTTCAGCCTTCTTTCCTGGGGTGTTTGTTCTGTAACTTGATCTACCTCAGCTGCCTCCCGCAGGCTTTCCTTAGCATCCGGGCACCAGCCTGCCTCCCTGTTTGTTGAACAGAACTGGACTTCAAGTAGCTCCCGTTAGAAGTTTTTTGCTGTTCGTGGTTGAAATAATATCGGAATGGGAGTGAACTTGGAGTGAATCTTGAAGACACAAGACTGCTCTAGTCCTCAGGCTCAAAGACAACTGAACATTTAGAGGGACCGTTTAGAGGCTTTCTTGACTACAGGTGTAGTGTGTGGTTTAGAAGTTACAGATTAGACGACGGGGATGTGAAATCACCTATATTCTCACTGCTCACAGTAACCACTAGAGTGTGTGTGAGTACTTATGTGGAATTTTCCTTTTTACAGAAATAGAACCTTGTATCACAGGCTGTTTTGGAACATTTTTCACCTGAACGGTGTCTCACAAACAACTTTTCGGGTCAATACGTTTGAAAAGAACAAGAATTTTAGGGGCAATTTTATGTTTGGTTTAGTGTTTTTGAGAACTTCTCGTCTACACGTGATAATCTGTTCATAAGTCTTTGTCTTTTTCTCTAGGAAACAGTACATTTAAATCGGATGTGGCTGGATCGTAACCTTGGGTCATTTCATGAGTGAGTGCAAAGAGTAAAAGCATGTTTTTGGTGCCAGGGCAGTCAGGCAGTAACTTGGCTCTTACTGTTACACATGTGTAGTTCTGACAACATCTCGTGACTTAGATCCGGCTCGCCTCAGCCAGGCAGGAAATGGAGAGAAGGCAGGCAGGGCGAGGCTGTTTAAGCTCCCATCTCCCGGGCTGTTATAATCCATGAGATAAGACCTCCAGTGTGTAGGGCTCCCATCACCTGAGCTGTTATAATCCATGAGATAAGACCTCCAATGTGTAGGGCTCCCATCCCCTAGGCTGTTATAATCCATGAGATAAGACCTCCAATGTGTAGGGCCAGGTGTGTGTGTGTGTGCTGGGGGAGGGAGGAGGGCTGTAGAAATGTGATTCCAACTCTGTACCTAAAAAGTCGAATTAAAAGAGAGGAAATGGTGGCTAAATGGAGTACAGAGAACCCTGGGGCTTTGAAATAGTTCCATGTTTCAAAAGGTGATTGAATCCTGGTTGCATGCGTTTTGAGCTTGCTTGGCCTCCCATGCAGTTGTGGCTGATGTTTCGGGTCTATCTGCATGCCTGGTTTATTATAGGAGACTTTGTGACACCCTCTGGGCATCCCCTAAGGCAAGGCAGATGCCGCTCTCCCTCCCATTTGAGGTGGCACCAGCAGCTGTGACAAACGTTGCCCCAAGGTAGGGTGCTTGGAGAACACTCTACTCCTGCCAGCCCTGCCTTCCCCAAGAGGGAGCCCCCTGTTCTTTGCTTCTTAGGTTTGGAAAAAAATGTGGCCTGTGGGGGTGCCGGTTTGTGCTCTAGAATTGCTTGCCTCCCACCCTCTTATGGATAGAGCTGCCTGTGGGAATTTAATTAGAAACTGATAAGATTTCTGTTGGAACACCGGAGGCCGTGCCTGGCATCTTGTCTTTGGAACAAAGGGCACTTGGTGGCTATTTGCAGCAGGGGACCCTGGAGATTAAGCTGGGAGTAGGAGAAAAAAAACCTGACTTGCTTATTGCTAGACTGAGGCCTGGAGCTCAGGGTCCCCAGGAACATACGAAGTCAGCTGCTAAGCACATTTAGGGCAGGGACTTTTGAGTGGCTGGGCCCCTGTGCCCACCCCATGCTTCCTCATCTTCTGGGGATGGGGAACGAAGCTCTTTGGAGGATCAGCATGTGGGCGGTGTAGAGGCAATGGATGCTGTGAGCTTCTAAGGCCTGGAAGGAAGCAGAGGGTGCATGGTGACTGGTAGGCTCCTCACAGATGCTAGAGCACTGGACCTGGGCCGGAAACAGCATCAGGGGCACCCCCAAACCAGTCTGAATAGAGCTCTGCCAGGCCTCTTTCTTGCAGAATGCTGAGCTCATGTGTTAAAAGCGGCATCGCATAAGACATTTTTGTTCCTTTGAAAAGCAATGTTGGCACTTGGGGGGCAGGTCTCAGCTTTGGTATCGTGCATCTTAAAACTATTTGAGTTTCATGTCTGTAAGGAGTGAGCCTATGAGAACAGGAAGTTTGTGTGGTAATGAAAATTTACTATGAAGTGAATCTGACTTAGTCAGGTTGTTGCCGATACACACGCAGTTTATAGTGCTGCCTAAGAATCTGTCAAGAAAAGAGAGAGGAAAAACCAGCACAAATAATCCTAACTGGCAGTGCTGTTGTAGAAGCCAGCTGCATTTTTCAGTTTTTCCCCCACATTTGGTGTCCTGGGTGAATACAGTGGGACTGCAGAGGGCTCCTATAGTGCGTGTGGTCCTCACGTCTGTCCCTCTCAGGGGCACTCACAGCCGGGGCCTTGTTTCCTCTCTCAGCTTCTCATCACTTATTCCCATGGTCCCTGTGCCCTCTTCAGGCCACATCCTTGCCTGTCGCACCACGAGGTCAGCTGCCAGGGCGCTGGACAGGGGCTGAGACAGGGGTTCTCATGCTGAGGACTTTCTACCAACAGACTAGCTTCTTATAGAAAAGGACAGGGACAGGTTGGGACATGTCCCTCTCCTTCTCTGGGATGGTGATAACCTGTTGTCATTGTACAGGACAGTTCGAAATCTGAAAGGCAGAAGCATGGGCATGGCATCTAAGCATGCCTTCACTTCCCACGGGGTTTCCAGGGAGGGCAGGGACAGTGGCAGCATTGACATTCTTGCTGGTTTCCCTTAATGATGATGCAGGAGTGTCACCAGCAGTTTGGCTGTTGACACAGGGGAGACACAGGGGAGACACAGGGGCTGAGAGCATCCTCTTAGAAATCTCTGCTTGTTACCTTCGTCATGTGTCTAGCTCTTGAGCCTGCAAACTCCATTCACTGTGAGCGCAGGATGGGTGAGCCTGGCTCTGCCCTCCAGGAGCTTGTGCTGTTGACAGGGAGACAGCCAGGAGCACTGACACCTATAGGAAGACCTGGTAAGTGCCGCAGGGAGGAAAGAACAGGGTGCTGTGAGCAGCCGGGAGGGGCACCTCTCCAGGCAGGAAGCTCTTCCCAGAGGAGGTGACGCCTGTGGTAGGTTTGAAAGGCCCAGGAAGCCAGCTCAGAATGGGTTAGGGTGCCGGAAGGAGTGAGAGTATTGCAGGAAGAAGTGGGTTTGAGCGAGTGTAGGTATCAACAGGCGAGCTGCAGTTGTGTATCTCTGCGCCCCAGGACCTTCCTCAGGGAAGAACCGCAGGGAGACAGATGCAATGAAGAGACCTGGGACTTTACAGCCAGCCTCCTCACCTGTCCCTGTGTCCACAGTCCCAGGAACTCCCTGAGTCACAGTCACACCAGAGGGTCTGAAGGGCAGCCAGCTACCCCACTCAGACTTGGGATGGGGTCACATCCTTGTGGAGAGCCCTAAGAGCCAGTGACCTCCATGGGCATTCGCAGGTGCCCAGATTGACTGCTCCTCATGGATTAGATTTTTTAAAAATATGTTTTTATTGATTTTAGAGAGAGAGGGAGTGAGTGATAGAAACATTGATTGGCTGCCTCCTACATATCTCCCACCGAGGATCAAGCCCGCAACCTGGGCATGTTCCTTGACTGGGAATCGAACCGGCAACCTTTTGGTGCACGGGATGGCGCTCAACCACTGAGCCACACCGGCCATGACTTGATTAGATTTTAAAGATGAGTGAGCTCGGACAAGGGTCTTGCCTGCAAGGAGCTTCTAGACTAAGCAAGAGACAGACATGAATCAGGTAATTACATAAATCGGGTCAGCAAACTGCAGCTTGGGGGGCCAAATCCAGCTCACAGCCTGCTCACAAGCCAAGAAGGATTTCTGTATTTTTGATGGTTGAAAAAGATTCAAAAGAATAACATTTCACAACATGTAAAATGATATGCAATTCAAATTTCAGTGTCTATAGAGTAAAGTTTTATTGAAACACAGCCACACCCAATGCTGTCTGTGGCTGTTTTTGCCTCACAGCAGTGGGTTGAGTAAAAAATACTTATTCTGTGGATTTTTACATCTTTTGCTGAGCTCTGGTGTAAACACCTGTAGAAGTACTAGGAAGGAGGGATACAAGAAGAAAAGAGGCTGTGGTCTAGGGGGTGTGTGGGGGGAACTAAGAAAGGATCCTGAGCTGGGATCTGAGGGAAGGGAAGTACTTACCTGGGGGAGTGGAGCTCACCTTCCAGACAGCAGCACATTCAAAGGTCCTGTGGTTGGGGAGTGTGATCTGAAGGATGGAGACTGCTAGGGAGGGCTCAGAATGGGTCTGGGGCTCTGCAGGAAGGCACTGAACTTACTCTTCCTTTTCTTTTAGGTAAAACCTGTTTTCCAGTGTGTTGGCATCCTGTGGAAAGTTGGTCAGCTGTGCCTGGGTGTGAAGGATCTGGAAGCATTTTGTCTGAGGTGTTGAAGCCAAAACAAACATTATTTATGAAACTCTGGCACATTTGTGTGTGTTGAACGACTGCTCAGAATATCACCGCAGAATCATCTCTACCACCCTCTGGACATCCCTTTAAAATGTTACCTTTTCTTCCTCCTCACGAGGGCTTTTGCCCTGCTAAGGAGCAAAGGGTAGAAACATATTGAATGAAAAAATATTAATTTGGAAGCAACTATTGACAAAAGTAAAGAGATCAGAAGTTATCAAGAACCCCAAAGAGCCTGAAGAATAATTATCTGCGTATCTAGGATTTCCGACATTCTGCTCTCCTGGATCTATGGCATTCTAGATGTGTAACCCTTTGGTAGTCTTTTGGGATTGGTCGGTCTGGCCTTGTGATGGGAATGGCTGTGTGAAAGTTCAAAGTGAAAATGCTCAGAGCTGGTCAGCCATAGCAGAAGTGCACACATTTGTGGTTCCTTTTCTTTTTTAAAAAAGGGTTCAAGAGAATTAGGCATGGCTAGTTCACAGAGGCTTTTGACTATCAGGGAAAAATCTATGTGTGTATGTAGGTACATATAAAATAACATCTCTGAAGGAAAAAGGCAGCCTTTGGTTAGTAACATCCTCCGTGTGTTTCTCTGCCCTGTCATGGTTCTTACATTGTTGGTCTTAGAAATCTAATTTTAAAATATCACTGTGGTAATTTAAATGAATAGTGATTAGGTTGGGTGAAAAAGCTCACTGTCAGGGAGTGTATTTGAACTTGGTCTCGGCCAGGCTGGACTAGAAACCCACTGAACCCAGGAGGTACCCCAGGTAAGGGTCAGGGGTTTGAGTGGCTTCTGGAAGCAAGGACTTGGGTCGACTTCTCAGGTTGATAGAGGCTCCCGTTGCACTGTTTCCCCAGGGTGGATGCTTTTGCTAAAATCAACTGGCAGTGCCTTTGGGGCCCTGGGACTCTGTTCTCTCTGGAAAGGTGTTTTGTACATTTAAAAAAAAAATCTCTTCTTTTCTAGCTTTCTGCAGGGTTTGTGTATTTGCCTGTTAATTGTCTGCACCATTGATTTGGATGTAAACTTTAGCCTTTCTCAGCTCACCCCTTTTTCAGATTCTTCAGTTTCCTGAGAAGGTCTGCCAGAGCTGCAGGGTCCCCTGGTGCCCGAGGCCCCCTGGGCATGGTGCTCTGTGGCCCTGGCCTATAAGGAAGGCACATTGGCCTCTGCAGGAAAGAGGGGGACCCTGAGGAGACCACTATGAGAAGAGCACTCGCTGTGTGGACCGCACAAGGCATGCCTGCTTCTTCCTGATTTCACTTCCTTTGTGGACTTTCCTTTTTCTTTTTTCTGCCCCGTTTGCCAGAGAGGTGGGGCTGCTTTATCTCTCTCCACCGCAGTGACTTCATGGGCCAGACTCATGACTAAATGGAACCGGCCACCTAGCAGCTGTGCGCCCTCTGAACCTTTGAACTGGAACTGCCGCTCACACTTGCCTTTTCCACAAACGCCACAGAATGATCTGTGGAAAAGCTGGTTCCTCTGCCTTACACGTGAAGAGCGGCTCAGGCTGCCAGGTGCTCACCGCCAGGCCTGGCGGAAGCAATGGAGAATGACCTTCCAAATTTTGGAGCTTCAACACTACAGGCTTTTAAATAAAACAAACAAAACAACAACAAAAACCCTTCAGCGTGAACCATATGTGCATCGGTTTAGATGTTTTCGAGATGGAGGGGGGCACAAGGCTGGAGGGGGACGTGGGGCCCGGTGGGAAATGCCTGGACCTGGTGGTTTAGAGAAAAAGCTGAGAAATGAAATGGCCCTTGGGGGGCGGGGAGACAAGCTATTATTCTGTATACATTCTTAGGCTCATCTAAATCATTTCCTGAGAGCTGCCTCTTTGCTTAGTAAATATTGAACCCTCACTGCTTTAGGAGAATCTTGGGGTATCTCCAAAGAATAGAAAACCAGTTGTGTGAAAAACTGCTAATTACTGGTTTGTGGTTATCATGAGGTTTACATGTATCATTCTTTATAGCACTCTATTTTAAGCTGATTGACACTTAAGTTCAAATATGTTCTCTAAGGACTACATTTTTACTCTCCCATACATGCTTAATGTTATTGATGTCGTATTTTATATCTCTTTGTGTTTTATATCTCCTAACTACTTATTGTAGTTTGAGTTGAGTTTGATACTGTTTTCTTTTAAACTTTGTAGTAGCTTCTTAATGTGTGACTTGCTGTATTTATTGAATATTTGGCTTTATGTGGGAGGTTTTTATCTTTTTCATATTTTCTTATTTCTGGTTATGACTTTTCCTTTTCTAGTTAAAGAAGACCCTTTAATGTTTCTTAAAAAGCTGGCTTAATGGTGGTGATGCAGTCCTTTAGTTTTTCTTGTCTGGGAAACTATTTCTCCTCTAATTCCTTGCTGGGTAAATTATTCTAGGTTGCAAGCTTCCTCAGTACTTTTTATGATCTCTCTTTTTAAAAATAGGTCAATAACTTTGCTGTTGTATGAAAACAGTGTCTGCTCATAGAGTTTTTGCTGTAGTTCTCCTTTTCCAATTATTGGTCCAGTGTGCCTGGAACTGGGCTCTCTTCCATCTTGGCAAGATGATCCTGAGGCGGGGAGACTTCTCGGGATTTTCCAGAGTATGGCCCAAATATCAGGAAATAGACTTTTGTTTTCCAGTATAAGCCCTGGAGCAGCTGGGGTTCTTCAACTTACCACACACCTGGCTCTTCTGGAGTCTGCCCCAAGGGAGAGTTAGCAGAGTCCACTCAACAAAGGGAAGAATTCTTCAAAGAGGTCCTGCCAGTCCCTTCTGGCCTGTAAAGCTGCTGATGAGAAATCAGATGATGGTCTTACAGGGTTTCCTGTGTATGTAACTCGGTTTCTTGTGCTCCCTTCAAGAATGTCTCTCTGACTTGTGTCTTGCTGTGGGTCTCTTTGGGTTCATCTTGTTTGGAACCCTCTCTGCTTCCTGGACCTGGGTGTCTATTTCCTTTCCCAGGTTAGGAGAGTTTTCAGCCATTATTGAAATAAAGCTTCTTTGTTTTTATTCTTCTGGGATGCCTATAATGCAAAAACTTGACTGCTTGATGTTAACCCTGAGGTCTCTTAAATTATGTCCTCCTCCCCCTTGTTTTAAATTCTATTTTCTTTCTGTTCTTCTGATTGGTTGATTTCCACCGGTCTGTCTCTAGGTCACTGCTCTGATCTGTATTAGCTAATCTATTATTGATTTCTTGTTTTTCATTTCAGCTATTGTGTATTCTTCAGATCTGCTTGGTTCTTTCTTATACTTTCACACACTCTGTTGAAGTTGTCTTCCTTATGACCATTTGTTGAATTCTTTATCAGGCAAGCTATTTCTATTTCCTTA